AGAGAGAGAGAGAGAGAGAGAGAGAGAGAGAGAGAGAGAGAGAGAGAGAGACTCTCTCTCTCTCTCTCTCACACACACACACACACACACACACACACACACACACACACACACACACACACACACACACGCACGCTCGCATGCGCCAAGGAAAAGAGATCTTTTTATCTTCTTTGTTTTTCTTGTCTTTATTTATAAAGAAGTAAATCCCTTGTTTCTCTCGTGTTCTTTTTTATTTTTCTTTGTTTTCTTTTTTCTTTTCTTTTCTTTTCTTTTCTTTTCTTTTCTTTTCTTTTCTTTTCTTTTCTTTTCTTTTCTTTAACAAAAGAAAAGGGTCCAGTGCCCAAAGCTCCAATTACGAAATTTATTATAACGCATACACACACGCCTCTTCCCATTAGGGCTGGAAGAGCCTCAGCCACTGCTCCCCTGGAGACAGCTTCCCTGTATGACACGAATATAGCATGAGCAAGGGGCATTGATCGCTTCCCCCGTTGTGTGCAGAATCAAGCTGTGCCCTGCTCTCCTCAATTACCCCTACTTTAACCATTCTGCACCGTAAGGAGTGGGGGAGATTAGAATAGGGCAAAGAGGATGATAACAGGGAAAAGAGGGTGTAGTAATTCAATGGTAATTACGCCGTGTTTCCCTTGAGCAACAGTAGTTAAACCACCAGTACTTCCTAACGCGCCACGATTTTAGGAAACGTACAGGCCACTACGAAAGCGCCCAAATTCATTCAACTAGAAACGTTTCTACTCTATTTTTTTCCGTGGCCGATAGCTGGGCCAAGTACTGGTGGTGTAACACAGACCCAGCCCGAAGCGCAGCACACAAATTGAAAGAAAACTTGAACCTATGTCGGCAAATCATCATACCAAATCATGGCATAACACACATACTGGAACACCCTAGCTATGAGAGAACATGACACGTGACTCCCTTCTGACAAATTAAGTCAACCACCAACCCGAAGGGAAGGCACTAATTAGGATAGAGGATAGAACATCGATATAAGCACATCACTAATTGAGACCCTTCCCCTCAGAAATGGAGGTGGCAAGACAAGATTCAATCACTCTACTTCCCACACTCTCCTCACCGCGAAGAAAACCACCGCATGCGTCTCCCCATCTCCCCTCCATCCCATGGAAAAGACCCCTCCTCCCCTTGCCCACCGTACCTCCCCCCACCATCAGACCCGCCCAATTCCACCCGTGTCTGTGTAAAAGGTGCAAGAAGAGATCCGGGATGCACCACGCAACTGCCAGCCGAGAACCCTCGCGTGTCCCCTGGCTCCATTGCTAGCACCGTTTCGAGGGCGCTTGGATGCACCCCGCGTACAGGGAAGGCCTGCGGAAGTGGAGTTGTGCTTACCTTAGGTAAGTACAACTCCACTTCCGCAGGCCTTCCCTGTACGAAGCTGATTCAGTTGTGACAGCACTCGTTGTTGTTGATGTTTGTGCTGTAGATGTGCTGTAGATGTCGGCGGCGGCGGCGCTGTTGGTGTCGTTGAGATCATCATTGTTGTCAATTCGTCCGTTGTCTTGATTGTAGTTTGTGAAATTGGCAGAGCCCCTAATTCACAGGATGAGACAATGATGCTCGCAGGAGCCGTCATCATAGTTGAGGTCGATATGATTGGTGTAGTCCCTGATTCGCCAGATGATACAATGGTGCACGGTAGGGGTGACGGTCGCAGCACTGCTGTTATGCTGACACCACTGATGTTAAGGTCATTGTTGATGTTAGGGTCGCTGTTGATGTAAATGCGGCCGCCGCTGATGATGACGGCAAGCGCGGAGCGAACTGTTCCAGACGAGTGTAGACATCAGCCTCAAACTGAGCTTCAGTCGTCAGCTTCTCCTTCATCTCTGCCCCCTGCTGTGTGCCTTCGTCGAAGATGATGTTGCAGCTCATTATGATAGCGTCAGCCCTCTGCCAATCAACAAAATCCTCCAGCACGGGATCCTCCTCAATCTGCCAGAGGATAGTCGACAGTTGTCGACACTTGTCTTCCAGCCATGCAGCCGGTGTTGACTCCCCCCAATCCGCCATCGGCCAGGCTTGGGCAACGGCGAACAAGTCGCTGACTATCTTCTCCATGCGCGGTCGTGTATCTTCCAGTTCGCAAAGCCATGCAGCTTCCTGGCATTGGAGATGCTCTGATGAAGCCATCGCTGCTGGGACCGCCACGTGTGTCCACCCTCCGAAGGACGGGCTGCTCGCTTGTTGCCTTTCTCCGCATCTTCACACCGACTGAACTCCCACTCTCCCCACCCACGGACCAGCTCATGGTCCCTGCCACATAAGCAATCTGCACAAACATGGGGTCGGGTTCATGGCCAAGCCATCGGCCACGTGCTGAGACATGCCTCTGCCAGTGCGCAGAAGCCAGCCGGGCCCTGCCGGCTGCGACCATGCAGAAGTGTTAGCGCTTCTGGCGCGCGATGTCCCGAAGGGCTCCCCAGTAGGCCTGGGAAGTGAACGCCGCGTAGTTCCAGCCTCGGCACGGGTCGGCATACCGGTTGGCCAAAGCTCAGACTTCATAGCTGGGCCAAGTACTGGTTTTACAAGGGCCCATGGTTGATGGCATCCTTGCTCTAATCAAATCACCAACTTGAAGACTTCGTCTTTATGCATGATGGAACAGCCATAGTCCAACGTCTTTTCTAGGGAGAATTGCTGATATGGCCCTGAAAGTTGGCCCAGGGGTATTTCATCAGATACCCCTGAAACACAAAGGTATGGGAAAATGCCCTCCTCACAGACGTGAAATTTTGTGAAACACCCGACTTTGTGACACACACACACACACACACACACACACACACATACACACACACACACACACACACACACACACACACACACACACACACACACACACACACACAC